CATGCACCTCTCCGTTCCATCGCCTTCCTTCTCATCGTGGGAATTGAATTAACAGCAAACCAATGTCAGAGTGTGACGGTTCGTGTAAGCGATTCATAAAGATTCTGGGTCTTATTTGGAGGTCTGGGTGTCTCGACGGATCTGCTAGCAACTATTTGGAGGTCTGTGTTTGTGAGAGCACCGGACCAGGCAGAGACATTTCACAGGTCCCTAGTGCAGTATGAGAACTCAGCAATTACAAGTTGGCACGCATGTTACAACGGCAAGTCGGCATGCTGCTACTCTGCATGAAAACTTTTGCACAAGAAAACCATGGACCAGAGGGTGTACCATGGTAGGCAAGTGTGGTTTTTCTTAAGTGATGCTGTTCGAACACTACTTGTGGAAACAGTACCTTTGAAGAAGAGCTTCAAGTGTCAAAAAAGAAACGAGATTCAGATGGAGAATGGCAGGAGAAGGGTCACATGTCTAAAGTTTGTGATCCCCCAAAGAATGTCCCTTCTGTGATGGGCAAGTTCGATGCAAAAAAACCTCATGAGAACTGCCACGAGACCCAATGTTTGTCACGTGACTTAGCAAGGTTGTTCACTGTCCTGCCCTCGCTGTAATATAGTTTGCTATTAGGTTGGCGGCCATCGCTATTAGGTTGGAGGCCATCGCTAGTAGGGTGGAGGCCATCGCTATTCTGAAACAAATCAAAAGGAAAAGGAACAGGAGCGAGCAAGTTACGGCTCAGCCACCTCTCCTCGCCAGGACAGAGACGTGGAGCACGGCATGTCTTTTGTGCGGCGCATGGCCATGAGGGTTCCAGAAAACAGTCCGTTCCGTTTCCATAATGTGCCTTCTGCCAGGCAGTAGACGACTGAACTTGCAATGCCCACCATTGTTATGAGGAGAACCAAACACCTCCAACATGAATGAACACCCTCAATTTGTGTTTTTCACCAATTCCTTCAGAGGGGGTGCATCGTGTGTCCAGATGTCTTACACAAGCACCCACGGGTAGACCCCTCTTTTGTGGCCAGCGCCAGGCCGAGTCAGCAGCGAACTTGCTGGAGAGGATCCCTTTCAGTCTTTGTCACCGAGTGTCACTCTTCACTTAAAACCACGACCCTCCGAAAGGACGAACCATGGCCACACATGACGGTCTGGCCCCGAAACGAAGATTCCACTTCCATAATTAGATTCTATTTTATATATTGTTTCTAATAGCTTCTTGTTACTACTAGTAAGGCACTTGTTACTACTAGTAAGGCACTTGTTCCTAGTAGCTTCTTGTTTCTAATTCCATGAGTTCAGGGAGTGTTTCCGTGCTCCGACATGGTCCAAGACCTGACCCGCTTGGACGAACTAGGGAAATCTCCCAAAAGGCCGAAGATCTGAAGGACGTTTCTGTTCGGAATCGAAGATCCGAGGCTCAAACAAGCGCTCTGAAGGACGTCCTGCTCGTAGATGGGCGCCAACAAATGATTTTATGTCACTGAGTCTTCCTGCTCGACCATCAGCAGATACTGCTCCTTTTTGATCCTTTTTGCGCGTTTATAACTCCTTTGCGGGGGACGCCAGAGGAGTTCAGGAGCGGGGTTCAGAGTTCGCCAAAGCCGGACCGACCTGAGGGGGTTCCACTTTTTGATTTGTTCCTGAACCAGGATGCGTGCAGCTGGCCTGGATCCGAGTTTGGAGCTGGAACCTCAAGCGGTGCAAGATTCAGCCCCGAAGATGAGCAACCTGTTTGCAGGGGTCAGTTAAGATGTTGATCTGCAGATCCTATAAGATGAAGGTCGTACGGATTCTTACATTATAATTAACATGTCCAGGGCTGGGAGATTCAGCAATATTCTGATGATGTGTTTTTGAACCATTGCTTCATGAGGGTTGAGAGTTGAGAGTTTCTTTTCTGGAACTGTGTTTGGGAGAAGGGTTTGGGAGAAGGGGGGGGGCCAGCGGCCTTCCGCAATCTTCCTAAGGACCTACGAAGCTGTCTTGAAGGCGGTTTTTAATTTGGGTGGGTGATTTGGGTATCCCAAAGATGTTGCAGTATTCTTTTCTTATATTAATGTCAGTTTTCTAGTCACCCCTGGGCCAAGGTGGAAGGTTGTGAGGAGAGATTGGCCTTTCTTTGTGAGATGAGCGCTTTTTTGTTTTTATATATGGTCTGTCCATGTCTGTCCTATTACCTGTAACAGTCAGTAAACAATTATAAATTATTGCTATTACTATTCTTGAACAAGGCCTTTACTCACCATCATCATCCACTGTTACAGGTATTAGGATAGACTCCATACATAACGCAATAGGCTGAAATGGTGTGAAAACACATTTCGATGTCACTATCATGAAAGTGAAGAGCCCCATGTTTGTGATGCTATAGACTGCTGGACTCCTCATTGTGCGGTAGCTCCGCGGATTATTCCAAAACATTCCAAAACGTTTTTATGCAACCACAGACCCAATGGCTTTGAGAGGTTTTGAGGACACGAGCCCCCACAAATCCACGGTGCCATTCATAAGGGATAAAAAGGGTCCTCCATGCCGTTCCAAGAAAACGATCATGTAGGCCTGGAGCGAGCTGCAGCTTCCCGACATGCGAAAGAAGTTGGAACAGTCCTGGCAACGGAGCCCAGAGCGGTGGGGGGACACCCACGAATGGGGGTCAGACATTTGCAGAGCTTGGTGAGAAGGGTTGAAAGAGCGTCTTTCGAGGTTTCAGTTTTCCACTTGTACGGTAACTAGGCCTTCCACGTCAGCTTCTTCGATCCAGGCCATCGTGTTTTTCATCATGTTTCATCGTGTGGTTGAACAAGAACGACCCTTGAGAGGCACGGCACAGAAGTAGAGGGGCACCTCCTCCAACATCCCCCTCCCTGGCCTCCCTGTGGGGATTCCTGGCCTCCCTGCCCAGGATCCAAGGGCTGAAGGCCAACGGAACGAAGGTGAGCCGAGATGTCTACAAGACACTCATGCGGGTCGTGACCTCGGGGACCGACCGACCGGGGTGCATAAGCCAGCCCGGTCTTCAGGAGTGCCATTTGGAAGACACCCGGATCCCCAGGCGTCTGCAATTTGGTTGGCTTCTGGAAAAGAACAATAACATTGGCCAGCATTGGCCACCCCAAACACCCCTAATTAATACGGGTCCATAAAATGGGGGGTTTCTGACTGGACTGCATTTCAACGAAAGGTGACCGACCCAGGTCGTCACGGCGGGTGTTGTCGACACCGGAAACCGCACGGGATCGAGGCGTCCAAGAGCGACATTCGATCGATGGAAGAATGGTTTGGGATCCCAAGCAGCTGCGACACGGGTGGAGTGCCTCCTGAGCTTTCGAAGAAGAGAGCCCCAGCGGAGCCGATTCGCGGAGGCTGAGAGGTTTCGCACAGTTATCAGGTGTCTTGCTCAGTCATTTTGATGTCCGGTGCCTGTGGGAACCTACAAACATCGACCAACGGTATGTCGTGTATCCCCCGCAATGGTTTCACATGGTTTCACATATCGTCAAATCACAATATAAGGATATATAAGGCAGATTCGATGATAAGTGATCCGCCTGTTCTTTTGGGATGAGAGTTGTTTCGTTTCAAGCAGAGTCTGGAGTTTGGCGGTGTATAGGGGCATATGTATCAAAAAAGAGAGCATCAACAAAAAATAAAAACAGGATCAAAAAAAAGCGAATCAACAAATAAATATTCCTTGATAGGCCTCTTCTGCTGCTCTCCTGGCCTTGTGGGCTGCGGGTCCCCTAGTACTACTACTACTACTACTACTACTACTACTCCTCCTCCTCCTGCTGCTGCTGCTGCTGCGCCGCCGCTGCTGCTGGCTGCTGGCTGCTGGCTGCTGGCTGCTGGCTGCTGCCTGCTGGCTGCTGCCTGCTGGCTGCTGCCTGCTGCCTGCTGCCTGCTGCCTGCTGCCTGCTGCTGGCTGCTGGCTGCTGGCTGCTGGCTGCTGGCTGCTGACTGCTGACTGCTGACTGCTGACTGCTGACTGCTGACTGCTGACTGCTGACTGCTGAC